GCTGGGGTCCAGGTGGGAGAGGGGTGCCGCAGCCGGCCGTGCGCAGGGCAGCGGGCGCCTCGGGGAAGGCTCTGGTGCTGCCGTGCTGCTGCTGGGCCGCGCTGAGCCTCGGCCTGCGCCGGAGCTGCCGGTGGCACCGGCCTGAGCTCGCCAAAGCACTCGTGCTCTTGTTGACTTCGTTCCCAGCTGGCGCTTTAAAACGCGGAATACCTCAGCCCTGTGGGAAGTACGAGTCTGAGCTCTGGCTGACAGTAGAACTGTTCGAGGTCGCGTTCGGGACTGATAGGGGATCATTTAAGGCTGTATCTGCGGCCGGTATGGTCTTTATAGCTGTATGTATCCGCTATCAGAGGAAGCTAAGATGTGTGGTCAAGACTGTGGTACCTACAGGATTATTTGTGACTCATTTAAATTGCCGTATGTGCTTTTGGAAAGAACTTTCTAGGTATAGGTTAGAAATCTGACTTTGCTTAATTTTTTAATTTTTTTCAATTACGTATCTAAGTCTACGTTAATCAGTTTTTTTTTTTAATCAGAAGTGTGGTGGGTTTTTATTTTTTTTCTCCATATTGTAGATGTCCAAGTCTTCAACAGCATCAAAAATGTCATCCCAGGAGGAAATACTGAGGGATGGGCGGTTTAGCTGCATTACGAGGGATCCCAGATTTTGGGAGATGCCCGAAAAAGAACGTAAAATCAAGATTGACAAACGATTCCGAGCTATGTTTCATGACAAGAAGTTTAAGCTGAAATATACAGTAGATAAAAGAGGTCGCCCTGTTAACTATACTTCTACAGAGGACCTCAGGAAGTTTTATGCCCTGTCAGAATCTGACTCTGATCTTTCAGAAAATGACAGTAAAGAACATAAGGAACAGAAAATAAAGAAAAAAAAAGTTAAATCTAAAAGAGAAGCAGATTCTCCAAAACTACTTGCCGATGGTCTCCCTAGGGAGGAGAGCAAAATAAACAAACAAGGGGTGGACCAAACATGTGAAGCGGTGACAAAACGAGATGACCTTAAAAATGAAGGACAAAAAATTTCATCTAAATTCAACTTGAAAGAGGACTGTAAGAAAACTGCAACAGAAATTGATTGCTCTCAGGGAAACAAGGGCCTTTTACACAAAGGGGAAAACAAGCAAGGAGATGCATCAGGAGGAAGATCAGCTTCAATTGAAAACAAGCAAAAGTCTTCACAACAAAGTGGTACTAAATCGGTTAAAACTCCTGGGAGGGACCATACCCTAGCAGGAAAAATAAAAGAATCAGGTTAGTTGTTCAAATAACAAGTAAAATTTGGCTATGTTTACTTGGATGTTGCTGCTTTTGTTTTATCCACGGCAGATCTTTTGCAAGATCAGTCCTGAAATAGCTGACTGACTCGGATTCAGTGTTGCTGAAGAATCGGAGTTGGTCAGCTCTTTATCGAATCAGTGCTGATTCTTCAGTAAGATTGTGAACATCCATGTCCTTTTAATTGCTGGAGCTGAAATTGTTGGTTAGTTAGAAAAGTAAAATGTATAGTAGCGTATACACTACTGTATTTATCAAACTGAATAGCAAATATAAGGTCTGATACCATGAAGGCTTCAGCATATCAACGCTTGTTGACGGAAAGCGTAAGGATGGCAGCATCAAGCCGTCAATATTAGAAGGCATTAGAGAGAACAGGTTACTTGAAAAACTTTCCTTATATTGCTTGTGCATGTGTATAGCCTGCCTTATTGAAATCTAATTTCTACCTGTTGATTATACACATATAAATAGAATAACAGAATAATATTTCATTGGAGTTTGAGGTTGTGGGCTTACAGAGTGATTAGATTAGACTAGACAAGCTGAAGAGGCGATAGTGATGATTTACGTTGTTTGCACTTCCCTGATGTAATTTGTTCCTGCATCGTTACACATTTCAGGGGTTCTGTAAATCTGTATGAAGAAAACCTGAGGTTTTTTCCTCTTTGTAAAGGATCATATGTAATTCCAACATAAAAATAGATGTCTAATACTTATCTTTCAGTGACTGTATGCACAGACACCTGTGATCAAAGTGACATTAGTAAAAGCCAATTAGAGGAAGAAATTTCTGCAAGTGATGGTTTTGAGTATGCAGAATCGGAAGAAGAGGAGCCAGAAGATGATGGGGAAACAGGCGAGGAAGAGGAGCCGGGAGATGACGGGGAAACGGGCGAAGAAGATAGCGATTCAGAAGATGATGAAGAAAGCGATAGTGGGCCTGATCTAGCTAGAGGCATAGGGAACATTGAAACGAGCTCAGAGGATGAGGATTTCAATGAACTATTTCCAAAGGAGCCAGAGATAGAGCATTCGTGGCGTGAGCTGGATAAAGATGCCCCTCGTGGAGATGAGGTAACAATACTTTGCATGTGAAAAGTTGCTACATGAAAAACTCAGAAATGTACAGTTATGAGTTCATTATAGACCTTCATCTATGAAACAGTTTGTGAAAGTATTTTTCATAAAGGTTTTTCAGCCTTTTAGTTACAGAATGCAAGTGATGATGAAATTGGCTGAGAATGAGAGACTCGCAATTTTCACTGATGTCTCCCCTTCCCTCTAAGCAGAGGCTTACCTATAGATAGATAAGCTATCTATAAGTGAAAGAACAGAGTTGAGCTTTTCAGAAATTCCAGAATTTAAATAGTACTGCTTTGGTTCACTATTGGGTTTGAAATCATTAGACAATGAAGTAGGACTTTAAAACTGAGCACAGTTAGCGTATAAGAAATCGCAGTACTCTAGTGCTGTTATAATACCGTGATACTAGTTGCTATTGTGACTAACCATATGATGATAACAAAATCCTAAGTGCTGATGTTGTAACTGCACTCCTAAATCTGTGATGGGTGCAGTCCATTTTGTGGTGCTTCGCTATATATGTCCTTTTCATCTGCTCCAGTGATTGCTGCTTCTGACCGTTGCTGGCTTAAGTGATACAAACTCTTGAGGAAAATGCTGCTTTTATTTTTTTCAGCAGAGTTTGTTGCTGACTTTGATTTTTACCAAAGATAGTTGCTAGAGAATTGTGTAGTCCCCATAGCAGTCAGGAATGAAACCTATGAACTTTATGTCCTTTTTTTTTTTCTCTCTCTGTTCAGATTACAAGTAGATTGGCAGTTTGTAATATGGATTGGGATAGGTTGAAGGCTAAGGATTTGCTGGCTCTGTTTAATTCTTTCACGCCCAAAGGAGGAACAGTATTTTCTGTTAAGGTAAGACCTGGTTTCTAACAGGACTACTGGCTTTTACTGTTAAAAAACCAACCAAACAAACAAACTACAAAATAAGAACAAAGTAAGACAGTTCTGTGGAGAACCAACAGAGAGATTAACATGATAAATGAGAAACTGTGTTGCAATTTAACTTGCTGTGTTAGAAACAAACGTGCTGCTTTTCAGCAACGGGCATGTATTTGGTAGAGTCAGATCCTGAAGCTGTTAACTTCTCATGTTTATGAGGTTGGCTCTACGTGCTGTTTTTCTGAGACTAATAGTGAAGTTCTCAAAGTCTGGTAGGGGGAGACTACATTTCCTTGGCTAGTTTAATTTTCAGTGGTCTTTATGGTAGATAACACAACCTTAAATCTGGCTATTTCTAAATGCTTTCCAACCCCTTTTTACCGTTGCACAACACTTCTTGTTTTTCACCACTTTTGTGTTATTAAGAAACTGGTTGAATTCTGGTGAGTTAAGTTGTGTTTTTCCATTTTTAGTGTCTGTCTCCAGCTTTCTGAGAAATGTTAGTCAAATACTCCTTTCTGAAAAGGGCCGCAGTGAAATGAACAAAGTCAGGGTTCCTGTTGTTCTTCATCTGTCTCAAAATATTCTCATTCCTAACAGGCAGTTTGTTTATTCTACTGTCTTTTCTGTAAATTAAATTTAAGAGGGTATTAAAGTTTATGGAATCGATCCCTTTACTGATTTTCGATAAAAAACATAAAGTCTAAAAGATATTTTTTCTTAGTTGGTGTACATTATGCCGCTACAGTTAAAAATTTATTTTTGTGTTGTTGTATATGTAGATTTATCCTTCGGAGTTTGGAAAAGAGAGATTGAAAGAGGAAGAACAAAAAGGACCTGTGGAACTATTCGATCTTCCAGAGAATACCACAGAGAATGACGGGTATTAACTTTGTCTTCAAATGAGAGATATAATAAGTCTAATTCTCAGTGAAAATCCCGATCAACTCCTGTTTCCAAAAGTTCATGTGTGGAAGTCTCCTGTGGACGCTTTAATTTTATAGCTCTTTCAAGGGATGTTTTACAACTGGCCCTGTTCATTGTCAGTGCGTTGAGTGAATGCATTACCGTGAAACTTGAAGATTTGCTTGTTGATAAGTGAATTCAAAAATTTTATTATGTAGCTCATTGGAATAATAAGTGGAACAAATGTGTGGAGAGCTTAACACAGTATTTCTTCTCTACAAATTGCCATTCATGCAGTAAACTCCCTTTGTTGCTTACCGTCAACATTTTTATCTGCGTAATCAACAGGGACCTTAACTTAGGCCGAGAATTCCCAGATTGAGATTTCTTGAATGCCACCAGCAGCAGCCCTGGCTTACTAGGCTGAGCTCATCAGGCCTACCATTGTCCAGGCTTCTTCAGGCATGTCTTTTGGGTTTTTTTCCTTTTGTTCTGCTTGAAAGTCTTGTCTGTATGGAACTTGCGAGGTTTTGCTTTTATATTTTTCCAGAATTTCCAGATGTTTGGCAGCCTGACTGGGACGGCTTTTGTATAATACATCCCGCTGGACTGCCCTGTATTTGGAAAATCTGGATGCTTCTAAAATAAGTGCAGATCCCTTTGAAGAAAGTCTCTAGTGCATCAGGGAAGTGTACGATGAACTTACAGTGCATTCTGGAGTCAGCTTCACTGTGTGCATCAAGGTGCACCCTGAAACGTTAGATCTACTGCTCAGTGGGCTCTAGAGCATCTGGAATACAAGAAACAGAAATCCAGATACCCCAGGGATACCTCCGCGATACCTGTGCGTGTACCCTTCAGATTCACGGGACAGGACCTCAGCCCTGCGGTGTCTCTCCTGCATCCTTCCACCAATTCATCCACTTCTCAGTCTCTTTTCTGCTTTTCTTTTTCTCTTGCTGTCATCTTCTATGACCCCCCCACCACCTGTGCTGTCCAAGTTAGTATCCTGATTCCTTTCCTCACCCATGCCGCTTTCTTACTTATCACTCCTACACTGTCTCTCTCTAGCACGAGGATCTGCAATTCTGTCCGTACAGTCTCCCAGCTTCTCTTATGTTCTTCATGTGTACCCTTACTTATGTATGAACATCCTTTTCATCAACCTTGTTAAGAGCCAGGTTAACTGCAAGCAACTTGATAGGAACTTTTAAATGCTACTTTCTGTGGCCTGCACAGAGACATACAGAGGTGCTACTGTATGTCCTGCACAGGGGCTCTAACCTTACAATGCCTGTGGGAAGCAGAGTCAGATACAGAAAGTGTACACTTAATAAAACTGTGTGAATTAGTCTTTTTACTTGAGTAAAACTGCATAGATACTGATGGAACTTCATGCTGTTTAACATCTAATCTTATAAGAAGATTAGGAGAGTGTTTGAATGGTGCATGTTTTTAATGAATTAAAATATTTTGCAAATGAAAAGTTATTAAAGCCAGCTCACTTGATTGTGGTGTTTCTCACTTTTGCAGACTTTATAGGGAAAAACTGCGGGAGTATCAATTTAAGCGACTGAAATACTTCTATGCAGTTGTAGAATGTGATTCTCCTGAAACAGCCAATAAAATTTATGAGGAATGCGATGGACTGGAATTTGAAAGTAGCTGTTCTTTTATAGACCTGAGGTAACTCCAGTGGTGACTTTTTTACATGTTGGGCCGGGGAGGGAGGATTAAAGCTAATTGAAAATAATTTGGAGTAAACGATATTGTCTTTATTCTGTAACCAAAATGAGATATGTAAATAAGTCAGGCATCCAGTGAGTTGTTAGGTTTCCCTTTGATGCTTTTTTCCTCTTTTTGAGCATTTTTACTGGAATATGGAAAGTTTGAGAGGATCTCTGCATAGAGAGATTATTCTCGGAGAAGTCAGGTAAAATGTTCTGGTTGTATCTTCAACCTTTTGGTACAATTAAGTAAAGTGGTAGGGTTTAGAAAACAAAACAACATACTGCTGCTTTTTTTTTTCCTTCCCCTTTTTCTTTTCTTTCCCCAAGGGTCCAGAAGTGGCTGGGGGGGTGGGGTCCCCAAGGGTCCAGAAGTGGCTGTTTTTCCGGGTTGCTTACAACAGGGCAAGCCTATTGCTGCTGTTGTCATGAAGCTGCAATAGATTACTATGCTAGCCCTGTGAATGAGCTGGAAGCCCTGATGTTTCAAAAGTCACGTTTGGGAAAGAATTTTAAATTATAGTTGTGCTTTATTGTTAGTATTTCCTTTTGTTACAAAAAAGCCTTCTAGTCTGAGCAGAAGTTACTAAATCATAATGAGTTTTGACAGAAGCTGGCTTCGTCTGCTGGGGACCGTGTTACGGGCACTCTTGGAAGTCAGTGAAAGAGAAGTTTTTTGCTTTGAATCATTTTCTAGAGGAACCTAGTTAATTTGCTTTGAACCATTTTGGAGAAGATGATCTCTGCCAAATGAACATGTAACTTTTCATGCTTTTAAACACAGAGAGAGAATGTTTTACAACAGACACAGCTGTTTAAAATTCTCCAATGCTTTTCCTAATCTTCTACTTTGTTAAATTTCAATGTTGAATAGTATTCATCAGATTACATTTGCAATGATTTAAAAAAAAAAAAAAAAGCCCAAGTAATTTCTGTTTTAGTGTACAAAGGGTTGTTTTTTATCTAACAATTTCTGTCATTACACATGACTACGGTCCTTTTAACTTTTTTTTCCCCTGCTAATTGTAATGTTAAAGATGTACCAGGCTTTCCTAAAATGGTTTGAATTTTTTTGTTTATCTGTTTCCAAATTCTATTTTATTCACTTTTTTCTTTAGAAAAAAGCTTCCTGAAAAGATGATTCTTAAAACAAACAAAACCACCCAAAAAACCACCCCGACCCTGCTAATACCAGAGTGAAAGTTGTTTAGTTTAGTTCCCCAGCATGGTGGTGTTATACATCGAAAAACCTGTGGAATAGTCGTGCAGAAGCCAGACAGTTAATCTTGCATGTGTGGAGTACTTGTCCATTTCTTTTGTTTCCTTTTCAGGCTTACCAACTCTTTATTTTAGCAAATTCTTTTGTGCTGATGTACCTTACTCACTAAAAGCTTAGACTGTTTATACTATGAAATTTCCCAGTGTATTTGAATAATAACATGTTTTATTTGCCTTTAAGATTTATTCCAGATAACGTTACATTTGATGATAAGCCAAAAGATGTAGCCTCAGAAGTGAACGTAGCTGTATATAAGCCAAAGTACTTCACATCTGCTGCTATGGGAACATCAAAGGTATCTTTACAATGTTTTTGTAACGTTTTTCTAATTTGTTTAGTTTTGTTGTCAGCTTATAAATTATATAAGTAGTGGGGAAAAGATTCCTGATTATCTTCACCATTTCAAAATAACGACATCAAACACATTAAAAGATGTAAGCATGTTACGGAGCCACAAGTTGCAACCCCATAAATAAGCTCAAGTTCTGGATTTTAAAAGAAATTCGGCTTCTTTGTTACAAATTAAATACTACATTTTGACCTCATTATAACTCTATTACGAGTTGCAGATGGAATTACTTTGTTATTCACAGTTAAATCTCCTAATTTGCCTAAAATGGGTATTTGTGTGTAGCTCAACAAGAGCCTTTTTGGTGGTAGTGCCAGGCTTAAACAGTTGCATTCCCTCCTTGTGGCTATTTGTTCCTGCTGTCTTATGTGACAGTCAAAATTTCCATTTGGCCATGAAGTGAACCGGATTGGACAAGTGATTATTTGAGAAATAAGTAATTTCTGCTGGATTATTTTTCAGTCAGATCTGTTTCACCTTCCGGTTGAGGGTGCAGTTGCGCAAACACTTGCATTGTCCCCATCGCAATCCATGCGTGATTCCAGGAATGAATTGCTGCTGGAAGAGGAAAGGGGAGGAGTTGATGGCTGCTTCAACACCAGTATCAGCTGCCACAAAGGAAATTTGGCTTGCAGAGATTTTGTGTTGTGTGACCTGCTGTTACAGAACCCTTCAGTGCCTGAGGAGACTTCTTCATTTTTTTCATGTAGTTAAAACTCCTTGAAACTCATTGTAGAACAAATTCCAAAAAGTTGTAATTAAATTTATTTTAGTAAAAGGTTATTATAGCTAATTGTTGTAGAGAACATTACTAACGGGTTTACATTGCTTCTTAAATGGAAGGTATCAAATAATTTTCCCTCAAAAGACAGAGTTACAATGTCCAATTTTAATGTTTCAGCTTCTTTAAGTGGCATTCTTATTTTTAAGGTAGATATCACATGGGATGAGACAGATCATGAACGAGTAATGTCACTTAGCAGAACTTTTAAAAAAGAGGAACTTCTTGACATGGATTTTCAAGCTTATTTGGCTTCGTCTAGTGAAGAAGAGGAAGAACAGCAGCAAGGTACTTACGTTAATAAATGTTGTCCACAAAGTCATTAGCTGCAGTGTTTTGAACACAAGTTATTTAAATATGTAAATTCTGTATCTTTAGAAAATGCTTTGAATGTCGTCTTTTACAGGCACAATATTATGCTCGTTATATAAAAGCTGTGGTCAGGTTCTACTATGAAAATAACCTACCGTTCCTCCAGAGCTAAACGTCTCCGAACGTGGCATATACTTACTTTTTTTGTGTGTGGCCTAAAGGTGGAGGGAAATTGGTGGTGAGCACTTTGGTATTTTTTATCCACTCTTTTCAATTAGGAAGTAAATGCATTGATGACAGAACATTGACAGACTGACAGATGCTAAAATTTTTTTTGAAAAGATTCGTAAGTTAGGCATGTTAACGTGGAAGCTGTAGAGTTCTTTAAATTTACTGGAACTTGATATTCCTTTTTTCTTTATTTCTTTTTTTGTTTCTTTGAGGTAAGTACACGTTTCCAGTGTTCTTTATACATGATAAGAAAACACATGTGCAAGTTTTTAAAATGGTATCTCTAAAGCCACAGTTGAGATTCATTATGCAAACCTGATTCTGATTCTCCAAATAAATAATCACTCTTACGACCCCAAAATTACTAGATTCTTTTTGAAGACGAAGTACGTTAGCTGAATTTGGAGCTACAGCTTAGTTAGAAGATTCGTTAGTGAGAGTTTGACTTAAGTATTATCACCCTAGCTTTAAAACAGCTTTCTGGTTTTCATTTCTGTACTGCAAAATCTCTTTACCTGGTGTAATTAATGTTTGATTAAGCCAAGTATAATGATTATAATTAGAGTGATTTCAAGTAGCGAGATCACAGGTGATCTAAATCATGGCATATTTTCTTTATTGCTGATATGATAAATCTGTTAAAGTTGCTTTTCATCCTACATTTGAATGATTTACGTAGAGAATGTGGTAGCTATTTTGTTCATTCAGTGCTGAATGAAGATCTACTGCCTTTCTGTGAAGTCTGAGTAACACTGATCAAAAATTACCAAATGATAGGTGATTAGGAGTTACCGTAATGTTTGAGCCCCTGAATAGCTGCTTTCTGAATAGAAGCTTGCACCTCTGAGTGTAAAATAATCCCTTCCTCTTTTTTTTTTTGGTTTTTTTTTGTTTTTTTTGACTCCTACCCCTCTCTTTCTTTTTTTCAGGGTGCCTTAACATTTCTTTGTCAAGTTTGGCAATACCTACTTTAATCTCTTCATTTCTGAGATAAAATTATTTTCAGTAGAACTGGAGGTGCTTCCTTTTCAGAGAAAAAAAAATAGTTTGAAATGTGAAGTCGTTAATGACTAAATGAATTAGGTTAGAATGCTCACTGTGGAAACCTATTTATAGGTTAATATAGTGTTTTGTCCTCTTCGTGGTGCTCTATACACATACTAAAGTCTCTGCAGGGTAAGGAGATACTGAAGAAGCTGCCCTAAGACTGTGCTTGTTGGAATGGCCTAGACAGGGCGTTGAATGCACTCCAGACCTTAGAAGGTCCTGAGGGAGATGTAGATTGCACAGAGCTTCTTCAGTCCAGCAGTAGCTCTTCTTGGGTAACCAGGGGAGTATGAATGGCAGTGGAGAGAAGCTGTGCTATGGGCCTTTCGGTACTCCTAAGCTATAGGTCTTACGTAGTGAGGGGAAAGGTAAGCAGCAGAACATATTTAAGGGAACTTTAGAGTGTAGTAGTGACATCTTTCAAATGCTTTTTGATTCACCTAACTTCTTAAGAATATAAAGAGAATGTCATCTAACTTCGTAAGGTACATAAATCTGTGTGTGGTGGACCAACATGTAAATTCCTGAATTACCTTGCTTGTTTCCACTCTAAAATTCCATCTGCTCTTAATTAATAATATATATATAGCCTAAATTACAAGGCAAAGAAAATGTCATTAAGCCTTAATCAGGTCTTTCAAACAGATGTTAAAATTGTTTTATACTGCATAAAAGCAGGTTGTTGCAATCAGAGATGAGTTTGGAGCTTGCAAAAGAACATTACGGATTTTTCTGGTCATAGAGTTGGGAAATCTTCTGGCAGCAAACTCAGCTTGGCAATATCTTGGCAGGGTTAATGTCCATTGGTTTCTCATCTTACATAAAAATGCACTTATAAACTGCACTTCTGTGAGCTTTAGTTTCTCTAGTAATGCTTAGTAAAGTATCTAAATGGGAGCAGTAGATGGAGAGGAAAGAATTTCCATCCTCTTACTATGTACAATGCTACTGCTGTGTTAAAGAACAGCATCTGTAATAGGGTGATGGTGAAAGCAAACATCTCTAAGTGAGCAACACTTCAGAAATTTTAAAAAGTAAACTTCCGTTGCTGGGAAGGAAAAGAAATTGACCTTAAGTAATCTTATCGCGCTAATAAATTTTAAACCTGGAAATGTCTAGATTCTAATGATGTTTTGGAAAGTAAGTTATTAATAGAGGAATTATGTTGCCATGTCTTTAACGCGTTCCTGACCTTTTATCCATTCAGTTATGTGATACAAGACAGGATTCCATCTAGCAGAATTATGTGGCACTATGCACAAATGGGAAAAATCAATGTCAGCTGCTTGAATGGAAATGTAGAAGTGTGATAAGAAGGAAAAAAATGTCCTGGACCTTTATTCATATTTTTTAACTTATTAAAATGTTTTATTTAGAAACAGTTTTTTGCTGGGCTGTTCTAATCTGTTTTTTATGGAATTTTTCAACTTAAAATGTGTGTGTCATGAATGTTAGTATTACTATTACACAACAGTTTTGTAACATCAAGTATTTCAGTGACCTGGTATGTTGTGGTTCATAGCATGATGTATATCTCCTTTACATTGCTTCTGAATTTTCTGTTACTTGGATGCATTTGTTCCAGTTAGGAAGCGTTTGTGGTGTGCATCAAATCCAGCCCATAATTGCTGTTTTGACCGTGAGCACCAGTGGCTTAGTGTACAGCATTTTAAATGATGCTTCAAATTAAGCATTACGGTTTTTATGCCTAAGCTTTTGTTTTGTTTTTTTATCTCCGCAAGAGCAACATCTGTTCTGCTTTGCACAGCCACACAGAATACCTGAATAGACTATATGACAAAATACTTTTATCAGTGTATTTTTAATTAGCTGTTCCTGATGGTATAATCATAGAATATCCTGAGTTGGAAGGGATCCACAAGGATCATTGAGTCCAAGTCCTGACTCCACACAGGGCAACCTAAAAGTTAAACCATATATCTAAGAGTTGTCCAAACACTTCTTGAACGCTGACAGGCTTGTAGGGAACTCTGTATAGAGCCCTGCTCTCCACAGTAGGAGTTTGAGCAGGGAGCACGGTCGCTTGTGGTATTGGGCTTCCAATACAAGACTCTGCAAAGACGGCAGATGTTTTGTTTTGTGCTGCTGCACCAATGCCGGAGGTGCACAAGCGTAGAGAAAGAAAATGTCATTGTTGGGAAGGAGGAGTTGCTGGGTAGAGATTTTTACTTTTTTTAATAATGCTGGTAATCTTATTTTTAGTGCTTAAATAAAATCAGACCATTTATTAAATCCTTTTACAATTTTGAAATCTGTTTGGCACAATAACTCTGACTACATATATAAACTTAGATGCATCTTTAACATTTTATCACATGACAGTACAGTCCTCCTTGCTGTCTTAAAAATGAACAGTATTCATATGTGTTTATATTTGCTAGAACTGTTAAAGAAGGCTAAGGAATGACAGAAGTAGAACATGCAATTATTTAATATTGTCCCTGAATCTGATGGGTATTTATAAAATGCATTGAACAGAATATTATTTGGGTTGGCTTCTGTCCCTTGTTCCTGTGTAGCTTCTTTGGACACTCTCAGGCATTGCTACTGCTTCGACAGTAGCAAGGATTTGAATTTTTGGAGTATTTCTATTGGGTTAGTTTCGGCATATTGCTAAAATATTTCCTAAGGAATTAGCTAGACTTGTGTGGAATTTCATGGGACAGAATAGAAATACCACAACCTGGTTATTTTCTTTCCATGTAGCATCAGGAGCTTGATACAACTGATGCAGGCGGTGAAGACTTTTCCAAAGCATGTTTGCAGGAGCTTTTGTGTCGGGTTGGTTTGTTGTTTAATAAAAACCAAAAGGTGCTTGGAAGGCCAGGAACAAAGGTCATCTCAGCTTTCCTTCTAGAAAGTTCATACAAGCTGTTGGAGGTGTCCAGTAACTTAGAATTGAAGAACACATCTCTGTGTGCTTTTGCAGGCCAGTGTGTCCCTATTCAGAAATGCCTAGACAGGGGCCAGGTCTGACTGCAGGCATGTTAATCTTGGCTTACATCTGACTGGCTCAGAAGCGTGGCTCTAGGAATGTCCAGTCACCTCTCATGCGCAGCCAGGTGCTTAAAGGCTGCAAAAAAAGCCAGAATGTAATGCTTACTATTCCTGTATCGTTATCTGTTTGAATTCTCTTCTTCCAGTATCTGTCTTCTCCCTGAAAAATATTTTACAAAAAGATGTCTACTGAGATACTCTTTGAATAAGCTTATTTTGATTACTTTGAATTCTAAATTTGTCCTTTTTTTATTATAATTTGGATGAACTAATGGACTTTGCACAGCTTCTTGTTCGGAGTGTGCTGAGAATGTGGGAAAGTGGGGTTAAAACCCAAAGTGTTTGTCACTATTTTCTGGCTCAAGACTAAGGTCAATGCATTTAATTTTTCATATCATGCTGTAGTACAATGCAATAACCTCTACCTCAGACTTGCTTCTTGCTGGCTGGAATGTAGAGCTTTCTATTTTTCATTCTGCGGGTCTACATGCATTGTAGGGGGTTGTTTTGTGTCTGTCTGAATTTGAGTAACTACCCTGGATAGAATTGAGACGTTTAGTGCATTTTTATGGTATGGCCATCAGCGTCCAGAGCAGTAGCTGAATTTTCTGGTGTGCCACTATATCATGAGGGGGAATTTTATCTTTCCATCTTTAAAAGAAACTCAGCTTTGCAGCAGACCTCTTGTCAAATGTTGTGTCTGTTATAATTTTTCTACTCTCTTTACTTTTGTAAAGATACAAACTATTGTATCAGAATGTTTCTGACCTGCCTCAGGATTTTAACTTTTTTCTTCTTAATTCTTCTAGCACTTCTGTTACTACTCTCCTTTGAAAACATTAAGAATATACTTGTATTTTATACTGTAGACTTCATCAGCTTTTGCCTTTTTTTCCTTCACAGGTTAAGCTTTTTTCTCTTAATTGTATTTCTCTTGCAGTGCAGCTGTTAATGCGCCAGAACTTACTGGTTTGTATGTTGTGTTCAAGGAGTCTTTGAACAAGCTATTGGCAGAAAGCACTACTGCCTCAATATCCATCAGAAAGTGGTTCCTCATGTTGTGCAATACAGCATGATACTTGAAAGCTAGTGACAAGGTTATTTGAACTCTGAACAAACTTTGAGAACATATTCAGCTCATTTTCCTTTCTTACAGCTGTTGTCAAGTGTTCTTTATTTGCTTACAGAATGAAAAGGCTCTTGAGGGTTTTTGAAGGCGATGTTGAACATTTGACAAAAGAAATGCATGTTTTGTCTAAATGAGAAAGTATGACAATATGCATTGCCACTTAAATTTCTCCTAGCAAAATTAGCAAAACCAGTCATAAATACAAATCAGTAGCCCTTACTTATCCAGTTCCCATCCAGTATAGCTTTACTTCTCTTTTCACATGATAGCAGGAAGAAGAAACAACAAAATGGCTTATTTTCTTCTCAGTCTTCAAAACCGAATGCCTTTTGCGTGGTGCGTGAGCAGATGCTTTCCTCTTGGGAGATCCCAGCTACTGATGAGGAAAGTGGAAAAGCAGCTGCAGTTAACTGAACACTAAAGATTTCTGCTTCTAGCCAACAACCATCTGCTCGCGGTGATGGGATGTGGAAGAGAACAACAGTGTCACACCTAAGTTTTAGCCAAAGACCAGAGTCACTCTGTGTTAACTTGCAACTGCAGTCTGTCTTTTTAGACACCAGTTATGCTGTCCATGCTACTTGGTACCATAGGAAGCATGGCTTTACTGCTAAACTAGAGAAAAAGAAAAAAGGACCTTGCCCCAAACCTAGTTTTCTACAGTTCAGGGAGCTGCCGCATCTTAAAAGCCTCTTCTCTGAAACATTTTTTTAAAAGCTTATTGTAAGTCACATTGTAATTGTGTTTTTCGGGGGGGACGGGACACCTCTTTCCACCTTGTTTCATTTGTTAATTCAGCAAGTCACTGAAGATTAAGGCATTGAATAATTGTCTCTGTTGTTGCAAGGTTTATTTGTTAAAATACAGCACTCTAGTTTCAAAATGCTTTACACAACTATTTTTTGGGATTTAGGTACTACTCTGCTGTAAGGGACTCTGAAACTAATAATTAATTTTAAAATGCAGTAAAGGATGCTGTGTCCGATCGGTGATTTCCTTTGCTGGAGAAATTTTCTTTTGTCTTTTCAGATATTATTCTTATTTCATTGAAGTATGTGGATTCTAAAACCGGTTACTCTTTGGGGGAATAATAGATGAAAATATTTTAGATTGTTTTGTTAGAAACAATGTGTGTGCCTTAGGTGTGTTTCCTAATCATTAACTTCAGTTGATCACTTTCCTGAGGCTGTCTGTGATAGCTTTACTCTCTCTTTCTAGGTGGTGATGTAGCTCATGAAATGGAAGATGACAAATGCAGGAAAAGCCAAAAAGATGATGAAGAACAAATTGCCAAGTACAGAGAACTTTTGCAAAGTATCCAAGAAAAAGAGAAAAAACAGGAAGAAAAGGATATAGGAATGGAGATTAAATGGGTTCCAGGTAAGCTTTTTTTTTTTTCTTTTACTAACTTGGAGGATATGCACTATTGGCCTGCTAATAGGGATATAGTGTAAGGTGTCAGATTTGTAGTAGTAGAAACTGACCTTTTTCCCCCCCCATAAATTGAAATCCAGATGGATTACAATGAGAGAAATAAAAGAAACAATATGACTGAACTCAGTTCCTCAGCTGTAAGCTTCTCTCCGTAGCTTATTTTTTTGCTAGTTTTTTTTGTGCTTGCTTTTTCATTCATCACTTTATGGATTTTCTTGAATAGAATTCATGTGTTTGCCATAGAGTTATAAAACATACCTACACTTTTTAAAAATGAAAACCAGTATGATTTGGAAACATAGCATAAAATTAGAGGAGAATGGTTTTTAAATCTTGCTTGCATAATGCTGAAGATTTGGGGGAACAGAGAAGGGAGAAGCCTGACCTTCCAGTGAGACTGCTCTGTGGGAAAGCAAGCTACTATGAAGAAATCCCAGCTACCAGGGATATTTAGTTGTATTTAGTGACATCCAGATTTTCATCTGGAAATTAAAAAAGATAACTTCACCATATAGCATCCCAGCAGAACTCATCCTGAGATCTGAAAACCAATGTCTGGGGTTTTTTTCCTTTATGATGAAAAGACAGACTGATATTTTTTTTTTAATATTTTGTTTATGGGTGTGTGCTTTCCCTGAGATGTAATGAGCCAGCTTAACAACTCGCTACATGCACAAAGGGAAAGATTTTCACTGCGGCCTCTCCTTGATCCTGGCCCAGAGCTCATTCTGACTGCCTGTACCAGCCCTGGCAGTTGTTAGATTTCTTTCCAAGCTTAATTTCCTGTGCTAAAATGGCAGAACTACTCTGGAAAAGAAGAAAAACACTGGATCTTTTCCACTGAGTTAGCGAGTCAGATAGGCAAATGGAAGCATTTGGTGAATGCTCAGAGGGCTGAATTATGCAGTCCGAAGACTAGGGAAGTGTGACAGTACCTTTTTGGAGGCCGCAAGGTGCTGTATTGGCTCAGTAGGTGTAGGACTGCAGGCTATGTAAGGACACAGCCTGATCTGTTACTGTAAATGCTGAGCCAAGACACATACTAGAAAATGTGTAGGCCATAAACCTTTTTCCCCCCCCGCCACCTACCCCCCCCCCCACACCCTCCCCCCCCCCCCCCCCCGCCGATGTGTTAATTCCAGCTAGGAATGCATATCTAATTATATGATTTATACTAATATTATTCTGAAGTCACTCAGGTAACTTCTGTTGAATATAAATGCTCGCTTTTAAAATCTTGTTCTGGTCTGTACTGATTCACTGAAATTGATTGAACTGAATGGAATAGTTTTACTCCTAGTTCTTGATAAGATCTGTATTTGAAAGTATACACTGGCATTAAAAATAGCTGTGTGTTTTCAGTTGTGCTTATGTAATTCCAGTAATTTCTGGCATAAATTCTCTCAAAACTTTTTAAAGAAAGCATGTATCATGGCGCGATGGGACAAGTGCTTGCGAACACAGCTGTATCGTCATGTTTTACTTCATCTGTCCACAGTGTGTCAGTATTTGCATTCTTGATGTTGCTCACTTAGTAGCTTTAATTCCTTGTGTCACAGAGCATTCAAGGCAAATGAGTTTTCATACAGAGGTAGCTATTATAAGATTTTTTACAAAGATTTGTTGTTGCCACCTTTCAGACTGAGGGTGGAAACTACAGTCAAAACAATTGCTGCCAGGAATATGTTCTGTATTTATATAGGCCAGGCATTGTTTAAACACTTAGAAAAGCTACCATCTTTTGTGTTGGTTTGGAAAACACATTTGGGTTTTTTTGTGTTATACAGTCTTGTCTTCCGAACAATCTTGCAAATTATATGAATGAAGTTCTGTAAATTAAAAAAGTCTAAGCAACGTAATGTGGTGATGTAGTTAGGAATCTAGAGCAAACCACCTATTGGAGGAGATGGAAAATTGTTTTAAGATAGACTAAAGGAAACTCTCTTTAGTCTCTCTTGCACAGGGAGAGCAAGAAGTTTTCTGAAAGGCTCTGCCTTTTAAAACTGTGCCTTGCATGTTACAAGTAAATTATATTAACATTTAGGAACTGTAGTAGAGATGGAATCCGGTTCCCTAATACACGGGCTCCCTGTTTCTTTGCAACTGAACTTGACTAGAAAATCAGATTTGTTCTGTATTACATATAGTCCAACCCCTTCCTTACTGCACCTTCTTGCGGGGCTCATGGGAATTTTGCTATATCCTCATCTCTTTTGAGGGAGGGATGGAAAAAAAACCCCACAAAACAAACAAAAACCCCTCTATCCTGATAAATATGACTGACTTTGTCTGGAGTCAGTTGGATGTCTGTGCACTGGGTCAGATTTGTTCATATAATGATGGGTTGAATGTGCATGTGTGCACAATGAAGTTTACATTGGTAGTTTATAGTATTTGATGTCAGTTTAGCAACTGTGATTTTGCAGTATATGTTAGTGTTTCCTCATGTCTTACCCTGAAAAAGTTGGAGTATTATCAAAAAGAGCAGAGGTTCTGGAAATCACAAGTGTTCGCTTGCCTTTGCTAGTTAGGCTACTCACCTCCATGAAGTCAGTCAATACCACTACTAGCTATTAGCCCCTGGAATATGGTTTTGGCCAAAACAAAAGTCCTAAAAGTGAAGACAAGTGTCTTAACTTTGCTTTCGAGTCTAATGTATGGGAACACTTTAGCCGTTATTCATTTCAGGCAGCATTTGGAGAGGAGGTCCTGCACACCTGAAAGGGAGATTTTTTTTTTTTAAATTTTATTTTATTTTTTACGGTGGAGCATAGTCAGCACATGCTGAACCGTAGTTTATAGCTCTGGCAATATATACGCAGTTGAGGCTGTGCTTTCTTAGGGGAGAGAAGTACATTAGTTATTATGTTATTTTTTTCTTGAACAAATGTGCTTATTTAAATTCCAAAACAATTTAATTATGCTCAGTTGGAGCATTCTGGGAATTCAAAAAGAGTTTTTGTTATAATCTCTTAAGACTCCTTAATTTTTTCAGAACTAGTTTATGTCCGTTGAAATATTTTTATTATCAAGGTCTGCCTTAATCTGCTTGACTTATTGCAAAATCTTTTCCTGCCCAAATGTTTAATATACAAAGAGTTACAACAGTTAAATCTAGGAAGCTTTTCAATTGAAAGGCAGAGATTTGAATTAATTTAAAAATTTGAGTTTTGGCACAAATATTTACATATGGTTATAGAAAGCATACTTTGTGAATGATTCAGTTATTCTTGAATCATAATAGTTTTAAATAAACCACAGTGCCAGCAAAAATAAATTAAATGTAGTTCCAACTCTCTTTGGTCTGTTTCTTTTAGGCACAGTGTTATATTTAAGCATCCATCTGTTTTCTTAATCATATCTGATTTGAGCAATGATTACTACGCATCCTTATCCAGCTCCCAAAGCTCCCTTTAGAAGGTGAAGAGGGAGAAGACCACAACTGCATTTCGTGATGATATTCAGCCAGTTTTTATACAGTTTTTTTTTTTTTTTTTTTAATTGGACTTAAGAATTCTTCCTTTGGGAAGAATGAAATGTAAATATTTAGCTAGGCTTAAAGGAAAATTTAAGATTTGTTTTCATCAGAAGTAGAATAGCGGGCAATCATGTCTCTGTAAAGTGCATAGTAAACCTCAACTGTATGTTGTTATAGATTATATGGAGCACAAAAATGTCCATACGGAGCATATACGAGCATAGATATCTCAATCTATATCACTGCTTAGCGTGTCCTCTGACTGAAGCAGTCAAACCTCTTGCAGCACGAAGCAGTGTGTGCTCAGCTGCGCATGGGCTCGGCATTGTAGATCTTCCCACTTGACAGCTGCTCAGCGTGGTGGGTTTTTTTCAGGCAGTTAATACTAGGTTAGGAAAACTGTCTTGACTTAAGATGTCTTCTCTTCGGGGGTGACAAATTCTAATGTTATCAGAATATTCCTGTCTGCCATTCCTTTTAGCTACCTGCAACAAGGTGTTTCTTTTTTCTGGTAAGACTTTACATGCAAGATGAACTTGCTTGTTTAGATTTTCTGAGAATAGAGAAGTATCTTCTTAGCTTCTAATAATTGTGACAGTTGTATACTGTTCAACTTCCAAAAGTTTTCAAAACTAAGTGTTTAGAGAAGTAAAAATTCTGGCCTGCCCACCCTCCCTCACTCTCCCACCAGTGTGAGAAGCAATATACTTAGATTTGTTGTAGTATTTATCACACTTTTAATCCTTTAGCTCAGGTATGATTTAGTTGTATGCTAATACAGATGACCTTTTCCCCCTCTTTTCTCGGCCTTTATTTGTGAAGATTAAATAAAACTAGTGTGATTCATTTGTTCAAAAAAAAATTGATATTGATAAGGATATAAATTAGCCTTTTCTACGGCCAGTTAATAATTCTGCCTAAAGTAGACAATTCCTTTCCCCTTCTGCAATCAAAAGCCTTTTGACCACTTAAATACACTCCTATTCTCGGGAAGTGGTCTGGACAGTAGTTTCTAAGCCATTCTAATCTGTGGAGAAACTAATGCCTTTCATCAGACTGCCAAATACCACAAGAAAGGGCTGTATTTTCCTCCAAGTCTTTCTGCGCCAGATGGATCAAATGATTCCATTTTCCAGGCAAATAAATCGGAAATCTTGTAACCTCCTTCAAGATTTTGGGTCTCTTTTTCTGGAGATGTGACATATATTTTTTTAATCCAGTATTTACTGTCTTCAGAGAGAATCCGCAAGGTTTCTACCTGACCGGTAATTTTTTCCACAAAAGTACTGCAAAATAATATCCAAAGCAATAGCAGTTCAATTTCTGGGAAGCTGACGACTCTGTTTTCATTGACTTTGGAAATGAAGAGGTGTGCAGCTGGAAATAACTAAATAATTGTTCTTGTTGTATGAGAGGGTTTCTTAGTGGCACGTTTTTAGTGAACCTATACAATGGCCTTCCTTTACTTTATTGTGGCTTTGCATTTGTTTGCTGGTTTAGTACCCAATTTTTGTGGTGGTAACAGTTTGCCACTTACTGTGAATTCTGGCTTCTTTCCAGGATAGTGGAAGGACACTTTATCTCCCCCCACACACACTCTTTTCTTCCTATAAAGCATGGTTTAATACGATTTTAGATCTTGTCCACACTTTGTGTTTCAGACATGTTGTAACCAGCTCTCTAGCCTTTGAAATATTTTTGGAGAGTAGACAAGTGCAAGAACAGGAATTGGTGTTTGCAGTTTTTCAGAAAAATGTTCTGCCTGCTTTTCTGAGGACGGGTAGAACTGTCCATGAAGGCTGCCCATTTTTTCCATTATGAACTCTGTTTTCAGTTCCTCATTACTGAGGAGAGCTGGAAGGAATGATGAGGAGTGGGGACTGGCCAACTGAGAAACCTGGGAGTTGGGAGAAAGAATGGGATCTAGTCTAGGACATCTGGAGATGTCCGAGTATGATTTCCGAGCAATAAAACTGGTATGAGGGGTGGAAGAGTAGGATTTGGTTAGGTGAGGGCTGGACTGGGATGGTAAGAAAGGGAAGAAAAACAAATAGAACATAGAATTGGGGAAGAGACGGCAAATATCAGACTTGGAGGGGGAAGCAGAAACATGATTCCCACATACTCCCAAGATCTATCGGTCATGTCATAAAAGAGGATGTTAACTATAGGATATCTGACTCATTTGTTCCAGAAGTTAAAAAAAAAAAAGTGTGTAGTGAATGAAGCAAGGAATTGCAGGTAGGAGAGAAATACTTCATTGCTCAGTCTGTTACCTCCTGCCAAGGAAGTGGATTCTGTCTTTCTGCCACTGAATTCTGCTCCAGTGTGTTGCAAGGCAAGTCAGTCAATCTCTTTACATCATGAAGTTTTGTTTTGGCAAGTGCCTGTCTTGTGAAGAAGGGGCTGAAAGTGTATAAGCTGCATCTGAAGTCAGTAGTTGTCCTCATAACATGCAAGTGCTGTGTGATGTAAAGACTTTTGAAAAAGCATTCCTGAAGCGTGTGGAATTTTTCACCGAAAAATGAAGATTGCTTTTAAATTCACTGCTTATTCTAGATTTAAATATTCTAGATGTAAAATGGGGATGCTTCAGTTATTTAATGGCTTCCTTCTTAAGCTGATGTTCTTGCACCATTGAATACTGTAATAATACACATAGAAAACTCCATTCTGTTTCTAGACTAGGGTTCAATTATGGTTGGTAATTTTGCTATACGTTATTACGTTCAGTAACTTAGCTATACGTTGAATGGTAACACAAAATACTGAGTAGCTACATGTTCATGATCTATAGATCAAACAGTTAAGGCCCTCTGGAAAGGGTAAAATGGGATCATGTGATGAGAAACTATCAGAATGCATATTTACAAAAAGGCTAAATTAAAGATTAGGACATACTTGTGCATGCGGCTTCAAGTTCTAGGCATTGAAACAGTGGCAGTCTGTGCTAATTTGTGGAATTTAATGTAAACCTAATTAACACATCCAAACTTAACTGTCTGATCTTGTTATGCAAGAATTATTTAGAACCAGGTATGTTGCACTTCTATGGGGTTTACTTTTCTAGGACCCTCGGAAAACTGTCATGCTCTGAAAGAGGCAACTTCCTGCAGCAAAGCATTTAGCCACCTTTCCCAACTGTTGACAGGTCAGGACACACAAATTTGAGGGCTTCTCTTACACCATACCCGTAACAAAGGGATACAGAAGAGATGCAGACCTGAGTTAATGGTCTAATAGTTACAGTTCCTCACTGAATCTGATGAGAGAATGGTACTCTTCTCCTGCAGTCTTTCAGTTCACATAGCTGCTAAGTACAAAAATTACTTTTGGTTACTTGGTGTGCTAACCAAGGAAGAGGATTGTTTATTTCTCTTGCTGCTGCCTTTTTTTTTTTTTTTTATCTTGAGTTACTACAATTTGAACTGGTAATCAGTGATAACAGAAAACATTCTTTCAGATACTTTTTTCTGTTTCTTTGAGAGGCTGATATGTTTCAAGCAGTCTATGCCCTTAATCTCTGCTTCTTGTTAACAAATATTTAAAAAAAAAAAAAAAAAAAAAAGAATTATTTACCTTAA